TCCCCTGATTTGTACAGAGCAAGTAAAGAACTGAGTTTTCTTCAATTTAAAATAATTGATACAAACAATATTATGTATTTCACTTAATCTTCACAAGCAGTAAGGATTCGTAAGTGGTGAGTAAGTTAAACTTCAGCACATTTAGAAAATTCTTTCTTGCAAATTCTAAGTTTCAAGATGCAGGTTCTGTCTTTTTTTTTTTTTTAACCGTTGTTTAGACTGAAGTATATTTAATTTACAATGCTAGTTTCAGCTGTATAGTGAAGAGATTCAGTTATATACATCTATTCTTTTTCAGATTCTTTTACATTATAGGTTATTAAAAGATATTGAATATAGTTCCCTGTGCTATATACTAGGTTGCTGTTTATCTCTTTTATATATAATAGTGTGTATATGTTAATCCCAAACTCCTAATTTTTCCCACCTCACCCACTCTACTCCCATTTCCCCCTTTGTTAAAGATTGTTTTCTATGTGAGTCTATTTCTGTTTTGCACACTTTAAAAAGAGTGTGTAGATACATATATTTCTATACAGGTGTATAAATAATTAAACCAAATCTTGTTTCCTCTTCTTTGTTTGTTACCAATGCTACTTAAACTGATAACTACTATAAAGTATTTACTAGCAGTTAGAATCCCAGAGTGGTTGAGAGTGTGTTTGCTCTGAGAGATCAGTTTCTCCGGAAAGAATTTTTGTATTTTTTTGAGTGGGTCCCACTTTCCATTTCCTTGTGGGTGCAGTGCTACTTTTGTGTCTGTGCCAAGACTTAGCCTAAATTTGCAGAATATCTTAAGAGTTATTTAAACATTAAGTTATTTGCCTATATAATCTTATTAAAATAAAAACACTGATATATATATGTATATAAAGTAAATTTTAAATACAGTGAACAATAAACTGGGTGAATCTATTTAAGTTTCGTAAGTAAAGGTTATCTAAGCACATTTTATTAGTCAATAAGTTAACATTTAAAAATCAACTCTTTGGATCTATTTCCAAATTTGTATGCAATCTAAGAAGGATGCTTTCTTTTTAAACTTTAAAAATCCACCATGCTTTTGTCAACTGCTGCTGGGAATCAGCAAGGTTATCTGTGGTGGTTCCACAGTGTGATTTTAAAAAATATTAATATTAAAATATTTTTAGTTAACACAGAATTTTTTCTTATCCCAAAGAATATTCCTTATAACTGATGCTCATCTCATTACCTCATTATAGAGTAAAAGGCAGTCACTTAGGCCCTGGCATAATGTCACAGAGAAAGGAATTTTTAGTCAATGGCAGGAGAAAAAATATATATATGTATGTATGTGTATATGTACACATATATGAAACATTGATTTACATTATAATTAAGAAGATGATATCTCTCTCTTTCTATATATATATACATATATATAAAATCTAGTAATGTAATGTAAACTAATCTTTCTCATTCTAATCTTGCCTCAGCTTGAAATAGAAAATGACCACCAGTAATAAATTATAGACACATTTTTACATCAGTAAAAATGAACTGTAAGTTTCAATTCCTGAATCCCAAGACCCATGCCACTCCAGTTTTATGGTCATGGTTTCCTGACATCATGAAAGAGTATTAGTGTCTCCGCTTCACTGAGAGAAATAGATTTGATGGAATATAATACCCATATATTTAATCTCATTATCTCTACAATTTTCTATAATTTCTTCTTTATCTAATTCTAAATGTTCTAGAGGTATCAATTTTGTGATATTTTATCCTAATAGATAACAAAAGAGAAATCTACTTACAGCCAATCAACATGACACAAATTGAAAAGATTTTCTCCGAATTGGTGTTAGGAGACACGTTCCCGAATCCTACACTGGTTAAACTGCTGAAGGTAAAATAGAGTGCTGTGACGTATTTGTCTTTAATGGATGGTCCAGAACTTGAGTCACTGTCATTGTAACGTTTCCCAATTTGTTGTCCTAAGGAATCCAACCATCCGATTTTGTCAGTCAGGTAGGGCCTCTCTACATTCCCAATCGCATACCAAATGCAAGCCAGCCAGTGAGCAATCAGGGCAAATATGCACATTAAGAGCATTAGAACAGCAGCCCCATATTCTGAGTATCGATCAAGTTTCCGGGCTACTCTCACAAGACGAAGGAGTCGAGCTGTCTTCAAAAGACCAATTAATGTTGTTGTCTGTGGAAATAAATGTCCATGGTCAGAAACTGTTGGCCAGCAATCCAACATATGTTCCTGTGGAAGCAAGCTAAGTAGAAACAGGTTAAAACAATATGGTAGCCTTGAAGATAACTGTATATTTGAATTAAGCATTAAGGTTAGGTTTTTAAAAATTTTTTTACACCTGCCTTGAAAAATACATTGAAAGTGTGTAGTACATTAATTCAGTGTCTTGGCATGTAAGACTTAAGGGACAGACTCTATCTGCTTGGTTTTACACTCTAACCAAGTGCCTGGCACATAATGGATACTTAGTAAATCTTTCACTAACCGACAAACATTGCATTGTGTTACTGGTGTGCCTGGGAAGTACCACACACTGGGATTATAGTGTTGAACAAACTGATGTGGTCATTTTTATAATAAAAAGAGACATTTATTCACTAGACAGTGTATTCTTTTATGAAGAAAAATAATGCCTGCTGCTGATTGGTAGAAATAGATTTAAAACCATTTTTTATTGAAGTATAGTTAATTTAAACGTTGTGTTAGTTTCAGGAGTACAGCAAAGTGATTCAGTCATATATATATATGTGAATATATATATATGTGAATATATATATATATATGACTGAATATATATATATATATATTCACATATATATATATATATACACACATTTTTTTCAGATTCTTTCCCATTATAGGTTATTACAAGATACTGAATATAGTTCCCTGTGCTATACAGTAGGAACTTGTTTATCTGTTTTGTATATAGTAGTGTATATATGTTAATCCCAAACTCTTAATTTATCCCTCCCTTCAGATATTTTTTAAATAAGCATCATTTAAGATCATCTCAGAGAGCGGAAAGTGTGACAATGATAATAAGCAGAGTTATATGATAGTGTTTGGGGACCTGGGTCAGATGGGGACACTTTAGAAAAAAAAAAAGGCCAAAGAGTCTTGCTGAGGAGCTGACATTAGAATTTAGGAGGATTTGAATAATGAGAAGGATCCAGTCAAGCAGGTAACTGGGAAATTTATTGGATGACTGTGTGCATACATTAGGTACTATATTTAAATCATTTTTCCCTTCCTAAATGTGTTGAATTGAGAAAATGATTCTCGATACTCCAATGATATTATGTATTTTGCTTTGGAGTGTGCCATGTGTAACTAATTGCATGATTATTACTGACCAGGTATCTAATGATAAGACACTTCTATTTAATAACAGGATACTTAAATGGTTGTTTGGATTTGAAATCTGATGAGTACAAATTACAAGTTCATTTCTTAGGTTTCTTAAATAATGTCAAGTATAAGTACTATATAATTCACAGGGCATATAATTATTCCATAGTTACATGGTGTTTACCAATCAATTATTGCATCATTTTATGTGTTCATTGTTGGTGTTTATTTTGCAAAGTACATCTATCTGCGTTAAGAACACTTACATTTTCATGAAAGAAATAGCACGTGGTATAACTGTCATCCTGTACCTTCATATTGACTTGGTGGCAAAAAAGCTCTAAATGTCAAGAAAGCCTTTCAATAAAATTTTATAAGTATTATAGTTTTTTTCCCTGTGCCAGAGTGGGCACAAGAGGAGGGAAGATCCCTCAATCGCCCCTGGATTCTTTTCAGTTAGCGTTGGAATCCTCTAGAGATGAGAGGAGCTTGTGTAGTTGAGATGTGCTTATCACAACTGGATTCTGATCTTTGCTCACTTGGGGCTAGATGGAGAGGTGAATCTTCTCTGTTTCCAATGCTGAGTTATTTATTTCTCAGGGTACAATACGGGAAACAGTTTTTTTTTTCAATCACAAATTTAAAATTATATCTCTTCAGTGAATAAATAGTGAGTTTAAGTGAGTATGAGGTCGTTCCTTGGAAGAAAAGTCAACTTTCCACCATTTGTATTCTCAGTGTTTCAGCTTAGCAGTTACGTGTTATGTGGTAGAGCAAAAATGATGACATTAAAAGAAAAGGAATCAAATCTGCTGTGTATGCCACTTCTCTCCTTTCTTCCCTCCTCCCAAAGAAATCTCTGGTGTTTCTTTTAGAATTATGTCAAAATGAGGTAAAGCCTAGATGACAGTAAGTTCTCTAGGAAGATAAAACATATAACATATAATAACAAAAAAATGACATTTCTCTTTGGACCAAGAAAGCTTAAGAAGTAAGGTAGGCAAAGAAGTCTCAAACCAGATGACATTATTTACACAAAATAACTGCAGACAGAGAGGGACAGTGAGAGAGAGGAGAGATTATTAAGCGGTCATTTTATCTTTCAGTTGCATCATGAGGATGAGTGAATATTGACTTCAACAGTCAAAGCTTTGCTTTTGTGATTCTGTAACATGTACCCAAGCATAACTACATATGCTAGTTTGACAATGTAACAAATGACTTGGCTTTACTTCTGTGGTTATCAAGATGCTGCTAATATGCCTGGGCATTCTTCCTTAGCTACAGTTGTGTATAGCACATCTTGTAGATGACACTTTAGATTGCAATAACTCTCTTCATCCTTTTAAAATATCTCTGTAAAAAGTTAAGGTGTTTTGCCCCAGGTTACACTATAGAGAGAAGTGACTGCATCAAAATCTCAGGAAGAGTAGACTAAAAAATGATCAATCTCCTCTTTCTGATCTGTTGATTATTAGTCCTCATTGTTTAGTTCAATAGACTATCTTTGTATTATCTGCAAGTTGAAAAATGGAACCAACAGCTACCTTACAATATAATTGTGTTACCATCAGAATTTGGCTGAATAAAATATTTTCTGAATGTGCAGTTATCTCAGTGTATCTAATTTTTTATATTGAGGTAAAAGTTAGTTTCCTTTATTAAGTATGACTTTTTAAACTAAACTTTAAGTTAAAAATATATATTCTAAACAACCACAGCTTTGTAAGTATGCTAGACACTAGATTCAGATTCAAGAAAATTCTGTGGATTTTTTTTAGAAGACATTTCATAATAGCGGGCAAATATCTCTCTTAATGTAATGGAATTCTTTTTGAAGAACTGAAATTATAATAAGTGATTTCTTGTCAGTATTAAACCACTCTACTTAAGAATAGATTTGGCTACAGTTAAGCTGAGAAAGCATCAATAAGAGAAAATCTTATGCCCAAGAATTTTTAAAAAAATAATTTTGAAAAATAATTCTACTTTCTTTTTAGTAAGAATTTTCAAAAATCTTACATTTCAAATTCTTTTATTTCAGAGGTTTACTCTTTAAAATCTCTGCCTATAATAAATGAATAGAATTATTCTTTTATACATGAGGAAATATAAGTATGTGATCTTTGGTTTTGCCTACAGGGTTGCTAGGATAAATCACCATTGAAACTTTCTACTTAATCCATCATTCTGTCCTGTCTGTCTAGTAATAATTTGGGTACAAGTGGGGAAAAGGGAACACTTAGTGAGTAGTAAATTTCATAACTCCACACTCATGTTTTGCTTTATTTCATTTCTATGTCCCTCTGAGCTCTGGTACTTGTATACATCATTCAATAAATTACCCAATAAAACTCAGTAATATTGAAGCTAGTTTCTAGTCTTTTGTTTGGCTTGAGTCACACTATTTCAGTATTTCTAAAGACACACTCGCTAGTACAAAGAGCTGTATTTTGAGTGTGTATAAAGCCTGGGGGGGATCACCTCACTTATTCTTCCGTTATTCATACCAAACCTCACAAATTTCTCCACCAACTGGCTTTCAGAGAAGATTTCACATCCTTCAACATTTAACAGCCCTTATGGTTGAGACTTCAATTTTTATTTTGTTTTATAACTAACATTCTATTTTGCTGCAGTTTGAACTCACTTTCTCTCTTTAGTCATAGTAACATGGAAAACTGGGCATCAAATGATTCTAAGTAGCAGCAGGCGAATGTTACAGTAAATAAACAATTATGAGCATTATATTTTTAACATTGGAATTTGACTTATTCTAGAAACATTTAACCAAAAATTGTCCCTCATACCATCTTTAGCAAATTGTAGTCAGTGGATCACATAAAAATAATGAATAAGTGGTCCACGTAATACAAAATATTTTATGGAATGCTCTTATATTTTCTTAGTTCAAAAATTATTCCATTATGGATCCTGCATCTCTCACTTGTCATGCCACAGATTTTTGGAGACGTGACCAACAGCCTCAAATACAAGCCAATGGAAACTTCTGCCTTAATTCCCAGGAATCATCTAATGAGAGACACAGCTTCTTTATGTGCAGACACATAAGTGGATGCATATCTTCAAAACGTTCTTTGTTATTTAAATTTGAACATGAGTACGTCTAATATTTTAGAAATTCATTTTCAACAAACTAATGACAACCATTGTAGAGACCAGATTCAGAAAGAATGCTAACAAGGAGATCGGTGTTTCTAACAGAGGCCTGCTAAGCTTTTCTTTACCCATTCCACGATGCATCTATCAGACTAATGAAGCAAACATAGCAGGGTGAGGCAGAAACTCCTCTTTCCTATTAGAACTGATTTCTGTCAAAGAGTATTTACTTATGTTTCAAAGGCCTTGCCTGCATTCAGAATTCATGAAAAATTACAGTGAAGTGTGAAAGGAGAAAGGTCAACAAAGCAAGTAATTTATCAAAAGTATACTACTGATTTTCAGGGGAGAAAGAGTTTAATGAAGCATGTAACTAAATAGAGTGCTCTAAATTCTAACCACTAATATCTCTGAAAGTAAAATTTGCCACAGAGGAGCAAAATATGGAAAAATTGGAGGCAGATAATGAAAAGCTGACTTTCTGGAGACTGAACCAATACTATTGTTCCTTTGCATCCATGATATTGAGGTGATTTGCTGTGGATGGCATGATGTTTGACGATGCAGAAATTAAGAAATTGAGAATCTTCTCCTTGGCCTGTCTGATGGCACTAGCATCAAGAAGATATTAATGACATAAAGATATGCCCAGTTACTGCCAGTATTCATTTTCAATGAAAACAGGTCTTGTGGTATTTGTATACTATATGTATACAGCACAGCTACGTCAGTCTACATTTGTAATTCTCACAGTCACAGTGTTTCTAGGCATCTAAATGTTAATATATGCATATACACATATCTACCTGTATAAAGGCATGTACCCACATATATACATATATAAGCACACACATACATATATATTCACCCCTTATAGTAAAATGCAAATATAAGGAAAACTAACAATATTTAGATTAATATTGAATTTACTATTTAAATATGGACCTCCACATTATCACTTAGGTATAAGCATCTGATAACTTCATTATATCTTTTAATGTAGACATTTCTGAAGCACGTATACATTCAATTAGGTATTTTATTATGAACACTTAAAAAAATTTTCCTTTATATTAAGGGTGGGCAATATATGCTACATTTGTGAAATTATGTGTGTAAGAAGGTTCTATTACCTATGACTTTTATTTAACAATAGTAGAAAGGCGCTTTATAAAATATTTGTAGTGTTGGTTCTGATAGGGTGGGGAACCAACACTTTATGACTCCATGCCTGAAGTGGGCTTCCCCTCTGATGAGCATGACCTTTCTACCCTTTCTACCTGGAAAACTTTCAATGGTAATCAGGAGCCTCCTTTCGCACGCTCACATGTCCCCTTGTGCATAGTACTATGAAAGCCTTTATCAGACAGCACTCCGTTTACCTGCTGCTCTCCCAGTCTCGGTGCAAGCTCCCAGACAGTTGGGTCCTTGTCCTGCTCTTTTCTGTAAACTCAGCTTCTAATGCACTGGCACTTAGTAGGTTCCCAATAAATGCTAATAGAATGAATGAACCTACTTGAAAAGGGGGTAAGCATAGCCTTTTCTGGAAATGACAAAATGAATTAAGTCAATTCTTGTTACAATTTATAGAAAATGTGCCTGAAATTCAAATTGCTAAAGCAGATAAAATCAAGCTACTCTTTTTATAGTGGAAGTGGATGGTTCTGACTCTTAGCCTGTCTTGCTGTCAACCCTGGAGGGCCTCTGAGACTCTCAGGCACCTCCATGAAACCCCAGTGTGAAATACACTGGCCTAGGTGATCCCTCATCAGAGTGACCTTGAGCTTCATTATTTTAAAATCTGTCATTTAATTTGGGGTCAAAAATCCAAAGAGTTTTTTTTTTCATATTCATATGATGAAACTTCCCAAATTAGTCCATTTGAATGTAAGAGCTCTTTTCTTTGGAAGCATTCCTTTTCTTTTTTTGTCAGAAACAAAAATGAATACTGAATATTTTAAATTCTCGCATAACGTGATACATTATACACTTTTGGAAAAATTTTATTCTGAAATATCACTACATTCTGAAAAGCCTGATTATAGTTATATAATATAGTTTGTATATAAAATGAGTATCTTCATTGTCACTCTCAAAAAATGTATGCAGTAGTCCATTCCATCACTCGTCTTGTTACCTTTCATAGCTGAGCAGC